TGTATGTTTGGGAGTATCAGTTCCACAGTCAAGTTCTTTTCTTTTTTTCCACTCACATTGTTATCCCTTGGGTTTTTAAAGATTTTCCTTTACATGTCCTCTTGCTTCATTGTTCCTGGTTCCTTTCCTTTCCTTGTCTTTCCTTTCCTTGTCTTTCCTTTCCTTGTCTTTCCTTGTCTTTCCTTTCCTTGTCTTTCCTTTTCTTGTCTTTCCTTATCTTTCCTTTCCTTTCCCTTCCTTGTCTTTCCTTTTCTTGTCTTTCCTTTCCTTGTCTTTCCTTTCCTTGTCTTTCCTTTCCTTTCCTTGTCTTTCCTTTCCTTTCCCTTCCTTGTCTTTCCTTTCCTTTCCTTTCCTTGTCTTTCCTTTTCTTGTCTTTCCTTTCCTTTCCTTGTCTTTCCTTTCCTTGTCTTTCCTTTCCTTTCCTTTCCTTGTCTTTCCTTTCCTTTCCCTTCCTTGTCTTTCCTTTCCTTTCCTTGTCTTTCCTTGTCTTTCCTTTCCTTTCCTTTCCTTTCCTTTCCTTTCCTTTCCTTTCCTTGTCTTTCCTTTCCTTTCCTTTCCTTTCCTTGTCTTTCCTTTCCTTGTCTTTCCTTTGTTTTTCTTTCCTTTCCTCTCTTTTCCTTTCCTTGTCTTTCCTTTCCAATCTTGTCTGTTTTTTTCTCCACTCCTTTTTTCCTTTCTCTCACATTTTTTTCAGCTGAATGTGACCACACAGATCTTTGCTGAATAGCTTTTGGACAGCGGAGATCAGAGATAAGGAGTCTTCCTTGGTGCTGGAGAGGATCTGGCACAATTAAGTTTTAACTCTGACCAAAAATAATCCTCTCCAAACTGAAAAAAAAAACAGATAAAAGAAAATCAAGAGACAGAAGGGGGCGGAAAGAATTAAACTGTGGAATAAAAAAATAGACTTCAGTGGGAAATGATTTTGATCTACCAGGCAAAAAGCCTTTACGGGAAGAAAACGGCTCCAATCTTGTGCATGTGTGACAATGTCAAGATGATATCATAACTTTCCCCGGAGTAATGGACATCTGAACAGACTCAGGTAGAGGCTGGGGAGAATCAAGGCTATGTGCCTCTCCAAACAGACAATTGTTTTTGTTTTGGGAGAAGAAAGTCAAGTCCACCAGAAACATTTATTTAGATAAGTATCCAGGTCACTGAGGACCGCTCAATTAGGGTACTAAACCATAGGGAGTGGGAATGTCTAGGGGACCTATTCCCATAAGTCTGTCTCAAAATGACCTGGAGAACAAAGGGGACACCGTCACCATGTAGTCTGAGTGTCTTCTCTCCCTCTCCTCCAGTATATTTGTTCTTAGAAATGCAAGAGGATTCCAACCCAGCAGATAGGATTTAATTAAAAAGTGATGCCTAGCCAAGGAGACCTGGTCCTAAGAATTTCAAAATATGTTTTATTTACCATTGAAATTTGAAATATATCAATTTGTTCTCTGTCTGTCCGTCCGTCCGTCTGTCTCTGTCTCTCTCTCTGAAGTTCTGTATTAAATATGCCATATTCACAGCTTTCTGAACAACCTGCACTGTTTCCATTTTACAGACTGGGAATTAAGATGAAAGAATACTTATGGAAATGGACAAGCTAACTTCCTGTTGAAAAGTTCTCTTGCTGGTTTTTAGGCCTAAAGATTTTTATTTTATCTCAAAGTTTGGCAGTGGTTTTGGCTATAAGGGAAAAGCATTTTATATGTGCAACAAAAGCACCTATTTTTTTTTTCTTATTTTGAACACTGGTCGATTCTTTTAACTGAAAACCTTTGCTTATTCTGTGAACTAGGTATTATGAGAATGTTTTGACTTTAAACCAGTGCAAAGATTTCTACAATATAAGAACTTAAGTGGCTTGAACAATAGTGATAAGTAAGCCAGGTTCCAATGGCAGAGGAAGGAAAATACAACTACATTTTACTTCTCTTTCACCTAGTATCCAGTCTGTGCTGTTGGTTTTTCATAACAGTTCAATACACCGAATTTATGAGAGCTTCCTGTAGCAGCTTGCTGAGATTAAACACCACTAAACTTACTTTCTGCCAACTATACATACATGGGATTAATTTTTTAAGGTTGGTTACCTGAGGATAAATCTGCATTGCCGGTTTTACTGGAAATATAGTTGTGTGTCAATGTGTATGTAGGCATGCATCTTCAAATTCTTGAAAATCCTTGGTAAAACTGAGGTTAGAATTAACATTATTGTTTCTTAGCAGAAAAACTGAACTTCCAAGAATAACAATTATATTCTTGAGATGAATCTAACTTATATGACCCTGAATTATTAGGATCATCATCGCAAATATCCGTTAATATGAGAGTAGGGATTTGCATGTCTGAAAGCTTGAAATGGCTTGTCTTCCCTTGTTTCCAAGTCTGGGCTTTTCTTTCTCCTAAGGCATAATGTGGTTTGCCTGATTCTACCTTCATGTGATCTGTTAGCCAGAGCATTGTGATTTATAAATCAAGGTTTATGGCTTGACTTTTTGATCAAATCCTGCCAGTTGTAAGCTATTCCATGGACCATGATTAAACATTCAAATTAGTGTAAATTACATTAACATGCTCGGCAGCTTTAACTTGTTACCAAGAGTACACATTCAAGCCTTAATATTAAATGCATGTGATAGAAACCCATTTAGCTTAAATAGATGGGATCCATTTTCAGAAATATTTGTGATATGGATGCAATTTGCAATAGTTATATTTTACAAAGAAATTTTAAATATGATAACCACTGGGTTTTTTATGGCAAGGTTTGACTTTTAGCTGGATTTATTTTTATCCTACAGTTTGAGATTCAGCATTTGGTTCTGTGTGGTAATCTCATTTTAAAAGCAAGTAGACTACAAAGATTGATAGTTTAGTCTGTGTATTTATGTATAATCTTTATATCATTTTTCCCTTTAGATGAGAATTTTTCAACAGTAATATATAACTAGGAAAAAAAGACACTTGCAAGGACAAATCAAAATCCTTTTCACTAATTATGGAACAGAAAGGAATATGGTCAAAAACTACAGATGGATTGTTTCAGTAATTTACTACATAAGACTGTATGTAGATATCATTTGGTTATATGAGAAAGATTTAAAAGCCTTTTGTTTTCCTTGTTAATTTCTGTGTATGTATATGTGTACATATATATATACACACACACACACACACACCCCTCAGTCACAAAGGATTATTTCTTTGCATGGAAGAGTATACAATTCATGTATCACCCTCGTCTCATGGGCTACTTTCATTTGGTCTTCTGTAAAAATAAATAGGATCTTTAATTAAGAATAAATTGAGTTTAATAAAGCAGAGCCATCCTCTAAGTCATGTGTACTTCTCAATTTCTTTTAGCAAATAAAGAGAGAAGAATCTGAATGTTTACATCACAAGAAACCAGCAGGTATATGTAAAAGTAATGATTTAATGAATGTAAGCAAGACAAAGCATAGAATTGTGCTTTTTTTTTCTTTTTTGCAGACTGGACACAACAAAATACGTAGCTACCATATCCCTGTACAAACATGAAACAATAGGCATATAGGATAAACACCCTTACAAATGTATAACTGATGAGTGAAGAACGGGCACATGAATGCACATACCACATATATATTTTTAACCAAAGCAAAGCACAAACTGAAAGATATTGGAGTTTCAAGAGACAATTTCAAGCCTTCCTTTCCCACCCCCCTCAAAAAAACCTGATACCTTCAGAAAACTATTTTGCAGAAAGGCTTCCAGGCAACTCATTTGTACCTGTTAATCTTTAACCAAGTTAGTCCTGTACCATACACACATATTTT